TGTTTTTTGAAATTTTATTAAAGTTTCTCCAGAGAGTTTCACCGAACAGCTTCAAGAATCATTCAGGGAACAAACCCAGGTCGATGACTTCCAAAGGCCAACTACTCCAGCGTCAACGATCCGGCGTCTGTGTTCCGTCCAGGTCCCGGGCTCTGCTCCCGGCCTCCCCTGCGTCTCCCCTGCGCCTCCCCTCCTCCCCGCCGCTGCCCAGCCCAGAGCCCTGGGGACAGACGGGGCCTGGGCTGAGCCGGCCGCCAGGGCGTCACGGGGCAGACACGCGCACTCGCGCCCGGGTCAGTCCCCCCCTCCCCTGCGGCCAACCCACCCACCCACCCACCGCGGGTGGAAACCGGAGCACCCAGGGGAGGGGAGAACATGCAAACTCCACCCAGACAGCACCCCAGGGCCAGCTCTCTGTGTGCATGTAATAATAATTAAAAAGATATCTCTCTCTCTCTCACCCCACCTCGGGGTCACCAATAGATCAGGAAAGAGAGACACGGGGGGGTGGGGGTGGTGCGAGTCGACCTCTGAACTGCGGTTTGCCCGGACGTCGTCTCCAGCCGACTGTCACAGGCCAGTCGGCTCCCCCGCTGGGGCTCTGGGGTACACCCCACCAACCAGGGCGGCGGAGGGCAATCAAAAACGTCTCTGACCGCTCGTCGGGGCAGGCCAGCGCTCCCGGGACAGGGAGGGTGAGGAGAATAACCCGTGGGCGGGGGTGCAGTTCAGTACTCCGGCCACCAGGGGGCAGTCTAGCCTCTGCAGTGTTGGGGGAAAATTAGCCATCAATCAATCAAAAAAAAAAAAACACACGTCACTCCTCGGGGTCTGTGTGTCAAAGACCAGTTAAGCTGAAGCCGGTAGTACTGGTCTTACAGAGGGGGGACACTGGTCCTGGAGGGGTCACACACATTTTGTCCCGATGATCTCTGGATGACTTCACTGACCATGCTTATTCTGCTCCAGGCCCAGAGAGACTGCCGGGCTCGAGTCCGATTCTACACCCTGCTGCACGCTGACCTTTAACCCCTGACTGAAGACGCCCAGAGCCCCTGAGACACCAGTCCTTCAGGGACTGAACTGAGCCAGTTACTGTTCTCGTGAACCCAGATTCACAGTGACCTCTAACCCCTGACTGAAGACCCCCAGAGCCCC